CCATTTTTGTCTCTATTTTTTTCCTTGTTTTTTCCGTTTAAATTTGCCGCCGGTTCCGCCCCCCTGTGACGTTTACACTCGCAAGGGACGTAAACCGGAAGACGGATTCCGGCATCGGCCGGAGGACACAGCGGGGATCGTGGACAAGGAAGTGTGGCGCTGTGTAATCCCAAGTGTGGCTCGGGGTACTGAAAATTAACCCCGAGCCACACTCGGGAATACCACCGAGGAGGTTAATGGAAGAACTGAAAGGACGGTTATATATCGAGGTGGAATAGGCCTCCCTGAAGAGATGAGTTTTCAAGAATCGCCTAAAGGTGGTCAGAGTAGGAGATAAGCGGATAGATTGGGGTAGGGAGTTCCACAGAATGGGAGACATTCAGGAAAAATCCGGGTGTCGAGCATGTGAGGAGGTGGCAAGAGAGCTGGAGAGCAGGAGGTCTTCGGAGGAGTGAAGGGGGCGGTGTGGGTGGTATTTTGAGATGAGGTGGATGATGTAGATTGGGGCAGAGTTGTAGATGGCTTTGTAGGTTATTGTTAGTATTCTGAATTGGACAAAATAACATATAAAATTGCTACATAAACCATTTTGTCATTTAATGTTAATAAAATTACTTTTACATTTCAATCTGAAGCTGCAGTAATTTTCTAAAACTTCAGTGTAATATGGCAACCTGGAGGCACTCTATGCACTGTTGGGGCTGATTTATAACACTTTTGCCCTGCGTATAGCTGGCCGAATGATACTCACAGCACATTACAGTCACTAGAGGGAGCCGGCGAGCAAAGGAAATTCTGTGCAAACCGCACAGCATTACATTGGTTGCTAGGTCACTAGCGTCTGGGTTTCACAATGTCATTGGTTGTTAGGCATGTGCACTACCAAAACATTTGGTTTGGTTCAGTTCGGTTCATTTTTGATTTTTCGTTATTTCCTAACTGATATTTACAAACAAATTTTGGCTGCAGTAAAGTTATATTAAAAAAAAGTAATATTCTTCCTTTTAACTTTTTACAGTCCAAAGAAGCAATAAACAAAAGAAAAAATGCTTGTTGCACAATTTCAGTAAGTCTGCATTGCAAACAGAGCTGTAGCTAGCGCATTTTGCGCGCGAGGCAAGAACAGAAAATTGTGCCCCCCAACAGACATGTGCGGTAAGTGATGTCATGCACCCTGACTCCAGCATGGCATCATGCGCTGGTGGCCAAATCCAAAATAGCATAAACATTTGTTTCGTTTGACAAAACGAATGAAAACATTTTTAGTTTCCGTTCATTTCATCCAAAACAAATTTTTAGTCATTGCACATGTCTAGTAATGTGTGTGTGTGTGTGTGTTTGGGGTGGGGGTGTCTTTTGTTTTTATTTATTTATCTTTTATTATTTATTTTTTTACTGTTGGGGGGGCTTCAGAGAAATATCAGGGGTTACACAGCAAAAATGTCAAAAGTGTGTCAGTCATTTACGAACAGAAACTAAAAACAAGCTCAGTCATGAAGGGGTTAAAAGCACATACACGTGTAATGAAGTGTAGTTAATGTATCGATTAGGCTGCTAGCGACAAGACACTGTTGATTGCTGGAATTAGTGAATTGTATCAGCGAACCCCAACAAATTTCAAATATGAAGCTGCTCTCCTAACGGTCCAGACCTTCAAATAATTAGTGCTTGAAGTAATGGAGGCGGATGTCACCGTGCCAAGACCGGATAGGAAATACGAAATCACCAGCACTGTAAATAAATGCGTATGACAGATTGATTGTAGTCAAAAGCATACTGACGTATCAGGGCATTGCAGGGTCCCTTCCTCAAGGTGCCATAGTAACAAATACCACATATAACAAACACATATTACTACCCTGATGGAACCCATAGCACCAACTGGAGCTCAGTCTGGGCTTGGTGCAAACCCAGTTCAGCTAAGCATGCTCAAAACTGTGAATGGCTCCCCCAATCAGTTGCAGAGGAGCGCATTCCCCGACTCGCAGCTATACGTCACAAATGGGCAGGGAATGCCCCTGCTGCAAATGCCACCACTGAGGAGGGAGTGGTGGTGACAGGTTTGAGTGGGCTTGGGCAAAGTCACCAAGCCCAGGCCCATCTCTAATAACAACCCCCCACATGGGGTTGTAATGAGGACACGATGTAGCTGCAAAAAAAGAATTTGCTTCATAGCGACAAATCACCAGCAACTATATTGTATTGATTAAACCGCTCGCTACAAATCACTGTTAATCACTGTCAGTGAATTGTAGCACTGAACACTGGCCTGATGGAACCCATAGTAAATATCTAATGTCTTTATTCAACCTCAAATACTATGTAACTATGTAACTAATGATGAGATAATGATGAGTGGGGGCTTGATGTGAACCCAGTTCACCCAGGCCTGTTATAAAACTGTGACTGAAACCCCCCCCCCACCGACTTAGTGGGATTCCTCATCCCTTTTTGACATGTAGCCACAGGGCAGAGAATGCTCCTGATGCAACTGATTGACCTGGGAGAAGGGTTTGTCAGTTACAGTATTACAAAGGCTTGGATGAACTGTGTTCACACCAAGCCCCCGCTTATCACTAACAGTAACTTGCACCCATGAGGTCAGATTGATGACATGATGTAGCCCATGTCTGACAAATTGCCAGCGACTATACCTAATTACGTTACTAGCTACAAATTGCTGTTAATAGCTGGCATTAGTGAGCTATAGCTGTGACTAGTGGCTGCTACAAAATCACCAGTGTGATATGATACACTCCCTGGGCAAAACAAAACAGTCACACACTCTAATATTCCATTGGACCACCTTTAGCTTTGACTGCGGCACGCGTTCTCCATAGCGTCGTTTCAATAAGCGTATGCAGTGTCACAGCATTGATTTCCATCCAGAGCTGCATTTATTTTTCACCAAGATCTTGTAGTGATGATGGGAGAGTCAGACCACTGCGTCAAGTCTTCTGCAACACATCACAAAGATTCTCAATGGAATTAAGGTCTGGACTCTGTGGTGGCCAATCCATGTGTGAAAATGATGTCTCATGCTCCCGGAACCACTCTTTCATAATTTGAGCCCCATGTATCCTGGCATTGTCATCTTGGAATATGCCCAATGTGCCGCCAGGGAAGAAAACATCCATTGATGCAGAAACCTGGTCATTCAGTATGTTCAGGTAGGCAGCTGAACTCATTTTTTGGGGACATAATGTTGCTGAACCTAGACCTGACCAACTGAAGCAAACCCAGATCATAACACATATACAATGGAAATAAGGCTCTGCTTGGGGCTCATTCACACCTTTATTAGAGATGGGCCTGGGCTTGGTGACTTTGCCCAAGCCCGCTCAAACCTGTGACCACCACTCCCTCCTCAGTGGTGACAGTATGCACTCATATCAGGGACGTGGGGTCAGGGGAGGCTCTGGAGGAAAGTCTGAAGCGGACAGCTTTTTCTCCATTCAGAACAGCTGTGTAACCTGTAACAGACAGAGTGCTGCTTGTTAATTACAGGCAGTGCTGCATCCGGCTTTTGACAGCTAAGTTAGGTTACAAAGCAGCAGGCTTCCCCACTGCTTGTGTAACCTAACATAGTGAGGCAAGACCTGCCACAGCACTCTATGTTAGAGGCTTGAGCTCTGTGGATGGTTTGGGCCAATAGCATACCGCCATAGGTCCAAGCTGTCCAATCAAAAAAAAAAAAGAAATAAAACACTGAGAACATTGATCTCGATACCCCACCAGTGAGGGACAGGGAGGCTCCTCCCTCCTTCACTCTAGCTTGGTGACCGTTGTTCTATCAAAGTGTGTTAATATGTTGACATGTGTGACTGGTCACACTTTTTAACATAATCCCACCCAGTTTAAAGCGGTGGAATGTGCGACCGCACATTAGGTCAAGCAATCCAACGCTTTGTCAGCTGTTCCAGGGTACACCGGCATCACAGATTGTATGTGCAGGAGAACCGATCATCTGCCCTGGAACGGCTGATTGGTCTCAAATGTCACACCAACTTTGTGAGTGCAGTGGAATCGCAGTCACAAAGTCGGATAAAAGTCACATTTCAGGACCAATCAGCTGTTCCAGGGCAGATGATCGGTTCTCCTGCACATACGATCTGCGATGCCCATCGGCCCTGGAACAGCTGAGAAAGCGTTGGAATGCTTGACCTAATGGGCGGTCACACATTCCACCGCTATAAAACTGGGCGGGATTATGTTAAAATGTGCGACCACGTGACCGGTCACACATTCCACCGCTGTAAAACTGGGCGGGATTACGTTAAAATGTGTGACCACGTGACCAGTCACACATTCCAACCTAGTCACAAACTTTGATAGACATTTCATTCAGTCCTATGGCTGCGAGGCAGTTGTACTGCCTCCCGCTGCGTGGGAAAAAAAACCAAGGCATGCATTCCTACTGTAATGCAGTGGTGGGCATGCACGCCATCTGTGACTAGGTAAATTGCAGGGGCTGCGCTGGAAACAACGGCCAGCACAGCTCCAACGCAGATGGGGGAAATAGACCCTAAATCCAGGCAGTGACTTTTTTGGGGGGCCAGGCAGTGTATATTTGAGTGATAATTATGTTCCTGAGTTTCTGTCCTCCACTAATAAACCAGAAGTGACACGTTTCCTCCACAGAGAAGGAAAGCCTGCATGACATTCCCTCATTCCACAGGTAGCAAGTAATGGGCAGCAATGTACATCCCACTTGTTTAGTACTAGTAACCATTTCCTAATAATCGCCTTCATGTACAGAATCCCCGCCCGTGTTTGCACACCTGCCCCCGGGTCACTCAGTTGCTCAATTGTGCGCCTCACACCCCGGAGCTGTGGCTGGGAGGGTGAGACAAGGCTGCGGCGGCGGGAAGGTGGCGCGAATCCTCACGGGAGCCGCGGCCTGAGCGGGGTGGGCTGGGCACGGCACATCACACACAGAGGGCGAGGTGTGGCCCGCCATTCCCCCGGCACACAGCCTCCTTACAATAGGCACTGTATTAGCAGGTGCTGGGAGCCCCGCCCCTTCCATGTGTGTGCTGCTCTGCTCCAGCCGCGTCCGCTTCCATCCCTTCATTACTGAGCACGCTGGATATGTACGATTAGGAGGACCGAGACTGGACACGGCACCACCATGACTGAGGAGCTCTTCTGTAAAGTGGTCTCCATTATCACCAAATGCCGGGACTGTGAGGACAGGTAACACAACACCTGACTTTGTCTCATTTACAGCTCACGCTCGTATTAGAGGACAGGTGACCTATCTATGGGACTGTTACCTGTAATGGCCGAGCAGGTGGAGTGTGTGTGTGTGTTCAACAACTTATTACACTTCAGGCTGTTCTCTGGAAATGCCTGTATACCTGCTTTACCTTCTATAGGGTGGTAAAAGGCTGTAGCCCATAGCAACCGCCTCCCTATAGTATTCTGGTTGCCATGGGTTACTGCACACCAAACATGTTACCATCTGATTGTCTAATCCCCATTCACTCCGAGGTGTTTTGTCTTGCAAAACTAGACATCCCATTCATTCCTATGCCCCTGTCCACATCAGAGCGTTTTGTTGCATGCTGTAAAACGCCTGATGCTGGAAAAAGTATGTGACGTTCTTTTGGCAGTTCACAATGTGTTTTTGTCACCATAGACTCGGTAGGAAACGCATGGCGCAAATGCATGTCTTTGCGGTTTTCCATGTACATCAATGTCGTAGAATCTGCCAGCTGAAATGCATGACTTAACTTGCGTGTATCAGATATGTGCGCAAAAGCGATAGGCGAAAAGGCATGTAAATACACACTGACGCCTAGGTGTGAATGTGGGCTTAGATCTACAATGAACTATGTAGTGCAATAGCCTGTATGATTTTGGATACAAATTGATTGGACAGCTTAGGTGTGTCACCGTGTGGATTGTACAAAGATTGGATAGTCAGATTGTAGCATATATGGTGAACCTTAGTGTCACCATACACATTACAGTCTTTGTACAATCAGTTTTATATTTACCAAAACTGTAGTATGAGGATCTACCCACTTTGTGATTGGTATCCAATCAGGCAGGCCTTTGCACTACATCGTTGTTGGCAGCTATAAAGGAGATTGTACACTCAGATGTTACAATGTTAGCTTTAAGCTTGCCATACACATTGTGATCTGACCATACAATCTCTATACGCTCTCCGTTAGATCTACCAAACCTATATAATATAAAGCAGGAGTGGGCAAACTCTGGCTCTCCAGCTGTTGTGGAACTACAAGTCCCACAAATCATTGCAAGACTGTGACCACCACTGGCGTGACTCCCAGAGGTAGATGAATGATGGGATTTGTAGTTTCATCACAGCTCTCCGATCCTCCAATGGACAAGGGAGGGGGCGGGCATAGCTGGCTCTGCCTCTAGATAGGTAGAACCTGCTGTCAATCAGCCAGCGGGGTGGATCTTGACAGTATTGCCGAGATCTGTCCTGGCTGCAGTGCAATAGGCCGCTCTATACCGAGCTTTGGATCACGGGAGGACGCTAGTATATGTCCTTCCGTCACCCTAAACAGAACTATGAGATAAAAAGGTTACCCCCATAGTTCTCTTTTAAGGCTCACCATACACTATTCAATCTGGTTGTATGATCTCCTACAGATCTACCATCAACTGTGTGGTGCAAAGGCCTGCCTGATTGGATATTAATTGAATGGATTGTTTAGGTTTGTCCTCCTCACATTATGTAGTTTCGGTAAATCTAAGGCCCTGTTCACATGTAGCAACTTATCGCGCGATTTCGCGAGAAGTCGCCTGCCAATGCTATTCAATGGAGCTGTCTTAACTCCATGTCGCGCGTCGCGGTCGCAAGTCGCTTCTACCGGACCCTTTTTCGGCGGATTTTGCTTTTTTTTTCTATGGAGCCCGACGGAGAAGGTCGCGCTATCGTTGCTGGAACGTCGCCCCGAAAGTCGCACTATCTCGGCCACTGCAAAGGTATGTCGCTACATGTGAACGGGGTCTGAGGGCCAACTCGCACTTTTCATGCAGAAGAGCTCTTGCATTTTGCAGCATGAAGATGCATGTGAAGTACAAATCACATTCTTCCCTATGTGGCTGGCTCACATCTATGTGATGCAATCTAAGTCCCCACTTTCACCTAGATGTTTTGGAAACGTGCATCAAACGCACATATAAGGATGCACACTTTGACATGCATTCCCGAAACGCACAGTCGTGAAACATGCTTCCATTGCTATCTAATGGCACCCTAAACGCGGATGGGAAATTATGCGTCTTCTACGTGTGTTTGTGCATGTTAAAACACTGTCTACGCTCTATTTTTCTACATGGGCTTCTTTTCTGCATTTGTTGCGCATACAGGAACCCACTGAGATCAATGGGGACACTCAGAAAAGGCGCACAAACAGGCGCGACCGTGACACGTGTCCCCGGTATGCCAATGTGTGAATGGGGACTAATGTGAAAGGCACACCGAGTCTGTACACAACTACACATGTGCATTACCATGAATGCTACAGGCACACACAACAGTGTGAATGTAGCCTAAAGGAGTTTGTACAATCAGATTGTACAGTGTATGGGCAGCCTTAGCCCCCATTCAGACCTTTCTTTGCGCATTTCCAGACTTGGGTGTTTTTGTGTTAATCAATGGAAAGCTAGTTACTACTAGGAGGAGATGATTGTTCGTAGGGATGCACCGATACCAGTATTGGTGCCAATACTGGAAATTTTCCAGAGTACTCATGAAAATGCCCCTGTTACTAAGCGCCAATAGCGGCACTTTAAATTTGTAAATACATTCAGCTGCTGTAAGGTCCCGCGCTTGCTGGGTACCTCATCGCAACCAGGGGACCTCGCAGCGGCTGTTTACAGTGCCACCCCGCACATGTCCTCCTTCCGGCTGCCCGCGAGCCCTGACACAGCCCTGGCGTGACCTGACACAGAACCCTGGTGAGACCCCGCACATCAATGGTGAGCAACATAGAGTATGTAGCTTTATATTATTCTGCATTGCTGTATTTCTGGAATTCATAGTCCTTTATAGCTGGTGGTATTCTGCATTGCTGTATCATTTATTGCTGTCACATGACACACACAAAAAAAGAAGTATCAGTGTGTACTTGAGGACAAGTATCGGTACTCGGTGTGGAAAAAATGGTATCGGTGCATCCCTAGTTGTTAGGCGTAACATTGCATGGCGCTGGCTTCCCTGGCCAATCAAAAAGCCGGGGAGTGGGTAATGACTCGCGCCCCCCCCCCGCCTTCCTGATTAGACGGGAAGCCAGCTCCATGCTTCCTCGAGGTAGCATGGAGCTTGCTTCCTGGCCATTCAGGAAGCCGGGTGCCATGTAATGACTCAGCGCCCGGCTTCCTGATTGGCCAGAAAGCCGGCTCCATGCTCCCTGGTGAAGAGGGAGCATGGAGACTGCTTCCCTAATTGGACTTCTGCTATCGGTTCTCGGTATCCGCAAATACCGAAAAAATATCGGTACTCAATACCAAAAAACTGGTATCTGTGCAACCCTAGTATAAACCTGTGTGTTGACAGTAGTGTGTTTTTTTTTTAATGAGGAGCTGACCCGTACACCGCAGAGTGCCTTCTGTTTACACGTGCAAGGCGACCATTGGCTTTACACTAGAAGTGGGCTCTGAAATGTTTCCTGAGCATTCACATGTATTTGCTGATCTCCTCCCGCTGAATGAACCTGGAAGCAACAAGGATTTTGTCACTTCTAGTTTCTCAGCTGTCATTCTCTGGAAGAAGCTGATCAGGTATGAGTTGTGCTTTGGGCTGCAAAGGTGACAATAGAGGTCTATTAGACCAGCGTTTCACAACCCTTTTTTCTGTCAACACCTTTTAAAAGTATGCAAAATCTCAAGGCACCTCAATCTAAAATGTGAAGAACGTAAATGTAAAAAAAAGTTCCTCCTCTCTCCCATAAAACCCATACCAGACCCTTATCCTAGAAAGGGGTCTGGTATTCGTTTTTAAGAGGTTGACCCCAGGCAAAGAAACACAATAAAAATTGATGTGTAGTCCCCCTCCTTTTATTTCAGAGACCCACCCACACCACACTTTCAAATCGGAGGCCCCCACCCCACACTTTCACATGGGAGACCCCCACACTTTCACATGAGAGGCCCTCCTTTAGCAAACATTTTAAGGCACCCCTGACCATGCCAGAAAGCACCCCAGGGTGCCACGGCATCCTGGTTGAGAATGGATGTAAACGACTACTAACGTCTACTTAAAGGAGAACTGTGAGGTGAGTGCTTTGCACTCCACCTCATAGTTCTAGCCGACCTGTGACAATGAGACTGTCACAGGTCGGCTCAGTAGATCGGGAGGTGAGCGAACACATACCGGCGTTCGTTCACTTCTCGATCCTGCCATGGCGCTCTGCCGTGACAGGGGAGTGGCTGGATTCCCCCCTCCCCGCTCCGATCCTCCAGCGCAGACTGGCGGAATGGACGGGGGAGGGGGCGGGTACAGCTGGCTCTGCCTCTAGATAGGCAGAGCCAGCTGTCACTCACGCAGCGGGGCGGATCCAGACATAATTGTCTGGATCTGCTTCAGCTGCGTCGTCTCAGTATACCGCTAGCTGTAGCTCGCGGTACACTGAGCTTAGGGTGACGGGAGGATGCTAGTTTGTGTCCTCCCGTTACCCTAAGGAGAACTATGGGGAAAAGCCCTAACTCCATAGTTCTCCTTTTAAAGATAATCTGTCACCACTAAATTGCTGTCACATAGGGGCCTCCTATGTGATCACAATAAAGTTAACAATTTTTTTTCAAACACACGCATCCTAATGCAAATGCTTGTCAGATGTGCCTGCGTACAAAATGGACAGTTGTGCCACACATGATGGGTATCGCTGTGCATACCAGAATGAGAACAATAATTCCAGGGCTCTAGACTGATGACCTGTATAGGTTTTTAAAGCGTCACCTATAGAAAATTTTGGGTAACGTGTTTTTTTGCCATTTTGCAATTTTGAAGCTTGACATGTTGGGTATCTATTTACTCAGTGCAACCTCATCTTTTTATATGTTACTCAAAATTGGGTAACGTATTTTGTTTGTGCACTAAGATTTAACTTGAATGTATTTTCAGTGGAAATATGGGTTTGATAAACAGTTGTTCTAATATCATGCAATATAATAAATTGCAACTGCCACCATTTTATTCTCCATGGTCTCTG